TAAATCCCCAAGTAAGAATTCTCTATATATCCCAAAATATTGCTTTGTGATTAAAATATTTTCAAAATAGTACCTTTATAAAATGATTGTCAGTGAAAAACTCTACGACCATGAGTTAATTTTCTTGAACAAATTCCTCAATAAATTTATCATGAAAAAATAGAAAAGTCAAGGATTATAAATGCTTAAGAGTAACATAAAATGTTATCTGTTGAAATATCAAAACACTTACGTTTTCATATATATTTATCAATATGTCAGAGGAACAATGATAGCTTAAGGAAGCTTTTTTTTTTACAGTCCTACAGACAGATGATTTAGTAATTATGACTTTTACAAAATTACTGCATACTCTAAATCAGAATCACTTTTAAAGAGCTTAAAAAAATACCTCTTGCTTCACCTATTGATCAGAATCTTTGAGGGTGATGCTATGGAAATCTGGATTTTAAACTTCCTAAGTGTTCTAGGGCACAACCAAGTTGGGAAATCACTGATCTAAATCTGTCTGAATTACAAATTTTTAATTTTATTCATCTGTTCATAATGTCTACAAATGAATGATATTCTCAGTAAATAAGTATACATTTAAAACACCTTTGACTATTTTTGTGTGAATTGTTAAAGATCAAAAAATGTAACAACTGGCAGGGAGCGGTGGCTCAGGCCTGTAATCCTAGCATTTTGGGAGGCTGAGGCAGGTGGATTGCTAGAGGTCAGGAGTTCAAAACCAGCCTGAGCAAGGAGCGAGACCGCTTCTCTACTATAAATATGAAAAGAAATTAATTGGCCAACTAATATATATAGAGAAAAATTAGCTGGCATGGTGGCGCATGCCTGTAGTCCCAGCTATTCGGGAGGCTGAGGCAGGAGGATTGCTTGAGCCCAGGAGTTTGAGGTTGCTGTGAGGTAGGCTGATGCCATGGCACTCACTCTAGCCTGGCAACAAAGCAAGACTCTGTCGCAAAAAAAAAAAAAAAAAAAAAAAAAAAATATATATAATACTTATTATTGTATGTATGTAGTATGTATAGTATATATAGTATATTATATATTGTATATACACTATCAACCTGTATGTATGTATGTGTGTATATATATATATGTATATACATATCAACCTGTAGGGAAAAAAAAAAAAAAGGAAATGTAATAATAAATTAAAAAATAAAATAAAATAAAATAAAAAGACTCCTTCCACTCTCTATGGTAGGAAAAAAAAGGGAAAATGACATTTAATAATAAATTTTAAAAAATAAAATAAAATGAAAGGAAATAAAAAGAAAAAATATAACAACCAACTAGCCGGTGCAGTGGCTCAAGCCTGTTATCTTAGCACCTTGGGAGGCTGAGGTGGGAGGATGGCTTCAGGCCAGGACTTAGAGACCAGACTGAGCAAGAGCGAGACCCCATCTCTCCAAAAAATAGAAAAATTAACCAGGCGTGGTGGTGCACCTCTACAGTCTCAGCTTACTGCGAAGGCTGAGGCAGGATCGCTTGAGCCCAGGAGTTTGAGGTTGCAGTGAGCTACACTGATGCTACTACACTCTAGCTGGGGCAACAGAGTGAGACCCTGTCTCAAAACAAAACAAAACAAAAAAATGCTGCTGTGAAAAAACTGGTGCCATGAAAGAATTTTTACTGCCATAGAAAAGTATTCACAATGTTAAATTTCAACACAGTTCATACTGCATGATCCTATTTCCCCCCATGAATACACATTCATACATATATATACACATATAAATATATAAAAGACCCACTGACTAGCCTTAAAAAATTTTTTTTAATTTTTTGAAAAATTCAATTATCAACAGTGACTACCTGTCAGTAGTAGAATAGGGATTGCTTCTCTGTACTTTCTAAATTCTATAATTAGCATATTTTACCTTTGCAATTAGAAAATTTTAAAATACAAAATATATTCAATTGTGATACTTTGTGAATTTCAAAATAAGTCCCAAAAGTTCATTAGAATTCCTCCATATTTGGAATTAACTGGGCAATGTGCTTTAACTATTTGTGTGTCTTTTAAATTAATATACAAAGAGAACTATAAATTGACTGATCAAAGCATTAAGTGAACACCACTATGTGCTCAGTATTATTTTAGGCATCATAGGGGTTACAGAAATATAGTGCTTTTTGGGTAACTAATGATAATCTTACGAGAAAAATAAATTGAAAAAACATAATACTCCTTGAAGAAAGTGTTAAGATTCTTAAGTATGTTTTTCGTAACATTTTGGGGATTTTTCTGTAAAAATGTATTTTATAAATGACTACTCAAGGGAAATGGTTCATGTATCAATTTTCATTTTAAAATGTATTATCCTTAAACCACACATGGTGACCTGAGCCTGTAATCCCAGCTACTCTGGAGGCTAGCCCAGGTATTTGAGATCAGACTAGACAACATAGAGACCTTGTCTCATAAGGAAAAATAATAATAAAATAAAATGAAATGTATCAGCCTTAAAATTAATCTATATCCTGGTACATTTTTTAAAAAAATAACTTTTCAGCAAAGCAAATCAAAAGCACTGTGTTCTAAAGTAAACTCAGCAAATGTTTGCTAAATCAGTATTATAAGCTACTATATATATATATATATATATATGCACACACACACACATATATATATATATTCCTTTCATTTCCAAAAATAAGGACTCAGGACAACTTGAAAGTAGACAAACTACATGGTGTCACGAATTCATTCCATCCTGACATCATATTAAATTTAATCAGCCTGTTATCTACTAAAATTCTCTCCTCCTAGCCTGAAGCCATCCTCCTACCTCAGCCTCCTAGTAGCTGGCACTACAGGCTCTCACCACTGGTCCTGGATGGAGAACACATTTTGATTTTCAGCCAATAAAGTAAATTTTTTGGAGTACTAAAAGGATTCAATGTTTCTTAGGTTTGAAATATTTTAAATGGCCAAAGGAAAAAGGTCAAAAGTAAAGAATAAGGGAATCACACTGATTAGTGTATTAGTGTCAATTCTGGAATATATAGATTAATAGCTACATCAATGACAGTTTGATTTCTTTTATACACTGTTTAATATATTTGGATAGCCTAAACAATGGACCAAAGGACTTGATCCGTAATTTCCTGAAAAACAAGAAATGAATGACATACTTTGAAGACAAAGATAGATCTCAAAAAGTAACACCTGCATTATTAGCAAAATGGTCAGTCAGAACAGAATGAAATTCAACAGTGGCCTGGGGACTCTCTACTAGAAGCTATCTCTCAGCCTCATTCATACACAGCAACCACACTTCATTGGTCAAAATCCATACCAGTTCAATTAGTCCCTGTCTGGGAGTTTTAGAATTGGCACTGAGAGTGTCTCCCTTGCTCTCTGGTAGCTGAAGCAATAAGATGCAAAATTCAAGGACATTTACCTTTTCTACTTCACAGAGAAAGCTGGTCTGCAGTAAGAGAAAAATGAAGCCAACAGAAGCAAAGATGAGAGACTGAATACTGATGGCATTTGAGTCCCTGATTTGGGGTGCTTCTGTCCCACATACACATCTAAAAATTCTTCTTTTTGCTTAAGCCTTTTTTAGTTGTGTGCCTGTCACTTGCAATTACAAGCATCTTAACTAACATAGCTAATCAGGCATCTTTCACTTCATGTAGAATCAAAAGTATAGCTATTTCCTTACTAATGACCCAAGGTAAATCATTTAATTTGTCAGACTCTTTTGCTTCCTGGTCTGCAAACAGGACAATAATATTCCTCATCCTTTAGCCCCACAAAGCTGTTCTGTAGATCAAATGAGAGTGTGTGAATACTTTTACATCATAAAGAGTGATTAAACAGTATTATTGGTAATCACAGTTATTTGTGAATCACAATTACAAAATGATAACTTTTAAAATTCAATTTGATATAAGTATTCATTAATTTATTTAATAGATTCAGTTATTCCTCTTAAGTTACTGCCACTCTCTGCCATAGTTAAAATACACTGTAATAAAGGATTCCAAAAGAATTTCACAAAAACAAAATCCAGGTGCATACTGGCAGGGTATAACAAAATGTTCACCATTTTAAAAGTACATCTATTTAATTTTTTTGTACCATAAAACAAATATTGTTAAAGTATGTTATGTGAAAAAGAAAGCCCATAGTATATATAAAGTTCATTGAACTTTGCAAGAAATACTTATTACAATTTAGTACACATTCTGTTTTTTTTTTTTTAAGAGAATGGGGTCTCACTATGTTGCCCAGGCTGGAGTGCAATGACTATTCAGGTGCCCCATCATAGCTCACTGTAGCCTCAAACTCCTCCTGGCCTGAAGCCATCCTCCTACCTCAGCCTCCTAGTAACTGGCACTACAGGCTCTCACCACTGCTCATGGTTAGAGTACACATTCTGATTTTCAGCCAATAAAGTAAATTTTTTGGAGTACTAAAGGGGTTCAATGTTTTTTAGGTTTGAAATATCTTAAATGGACAAAGAAAAAAGGACAAAAGTAAAGAATAAGAGAAATACACTGATTAGAAAACATAAAGAAGTGATGAAACACCACTTAATTTTGTTACTGGTTCTTGTCCACAGAGAATGAACTTCAAAATTTAAATTTAAGTTTTTATTACCAAAACAAGTTCTGGAAGTAAAAGAGTTAACTCTAAAAGGATTACTTAAAAAGAATTTAATTATTATGAGCATGTAACAATTGTATATCTTCATAGGGTACAAGTGATCTTTTGATATAGGCATACAATGTGAATTATTCAAATCAGGGGAAGTGGGGTATCCATCACCTCAAGCATTTAACATTTGTGTTAGGAACATTCTAATTCCACTCTTTTAGTTATTTTAAAGTACACCCTGACTTATTGATTATATAGTCACTTTGTTGTTCTATCAACTATGCTTCATTCTATCTAACTATATTTTTGCATCCATTAATCATCCCCACTTTATCTGAGAGGATTATTAAAACTACTAAAATCCCCAACAGAAACAACTCACCTCAAACTGAGTTACATCTCGGTAGGAAGGAAAATTTTCAACAACCAAGTACATTAACTTCTGTGCACTATTTTCACTTTTTCGCACACAATTAAGAAATGAGCCTCCAAACTTCTCCAGCAGAATTTTTCCGGTTTCATTGAGAATCCGATGCCTCTCTTCTATCAAAGGCATGGAAACATCTGAGTCAGAACGAAATATATGGCGAACCTGATCCAGGGTCACTGTGGCATAGTATGAGGCACTAGTCAAAGGTATTCCTTTAGGGAGAAAAGAAAATTCAGAAGAGCAATGTCATACTTTTATATTCATTAGATCCTTGCTTTTATTTTATTTTTAATTTTTTTTATTTCCTTTTTTCTTTTCTTTTTTTCCCCCCAAGAGCCACATGCTCTTTCTGCTGGAGATCCTTGCTTTTACAACAGGCAACTAATATGAAACCAAATGAGGTTATCGGAATGCACCGAAACTGGATGAATAATAAAAGCAAAACTCTCATTTTCTACTTGTTCGCGTGTATTCACCCACTTCTAACTACTGTAATATTACATCAGATGTATTTTGACTTGTAAAATGTTTTTATAACTGTCCCTTTGTTCTCCAGGTGTCATTAAAGCAGCATTGTTTAGAAAACTGACTTTTATGCTTAAGCTGCGATAATGACAAATATTAGGATCATTTCCCACTCAACACACCTCTCCTCATACTTTTAAGCAGAGAGACCTGGAAGCACGTCAGGTTCACCTCGTTAACATATAACTCTATCTCCCAACCTGCTCCCTGGGACACCCCGCCCCCCGCCCCCCCAGTAAACTGGCGCCTCAAAGGCTGTCTGGTCCGATGTTCTGAGAAGGGCACCGACCTTCGTCGAGGGCTCTGTTGACTGCGGCGCACAGGGACCAGTACCCACTGTACGTTCTCTCCCTATACTTCACCACACACTTGTGCTCGTTCTGCTCGGACCAAAAGGAGAAGTTGAGAGTGTCTGTCAGGAACACCCAGTTGACCGCGGCCTCGTCTGTCGCCCTGGGGTTCAGCTCATGAAGGGCCTTCCACCCCTCCACGCGCAGCTCCTGCCCCGACGCTTTGGCCAGCAGCAGCTCGGCTACCCTCCGTACGCCTTCGCTGTCAATGAACACATCCCGGCTGTTTTCTGCAATGAATTTAGCGGATTCCCTGGGCGTTAGGAGCCTGTCCATTGTGCCCCTACCCTTTGGGACAGGAAAACGACGCTTTTGACTTCGGACTGGTCACACTCTCTTCCCTCTCTAGGCGGCGCAAGGGCCAGAGTCCCTCAGCGCCTCGCGCGCCCTACCCACCGTGGGGTCGCCGCCCTAACTAAACAAAGTCCTGCCTGCCCTCCCAGAGAGCGACACTGAGAACTGAGCGTCGCCGGGTAGTGGGATGCCTCCCGTCGCGCTCCCAATTAACCGTAGAGACCGCGGGCTGCGCGCCGCGCCGAGGCCTCAGGCACTTCCGGGAGAGCGTCCCCGCCTCTTCTCGCTCGGGCGCGCGCCAGACCTCGGCTTCCGGCTCTGAAGGTCCGGAAGCCGCTTCGTGGGGTCCAGAGCGGGCCGGCTCCGGGGTTGCCCAGTCTGGGATGTGTGTCTCGGTTATGTTGTGCCTCTCCCACCACCCCCTTCGGACAGGTGGGACACGAAGACTGAGGTGTGCCGAATTGGCTTGGGTCGCGATGACTGCAACCGGTGTACGGCGTTTCCCTCAGCCGGCTCCCGGTCCTTTCCTTTCCCTGAGGACGCAGTCTGGGCTGTCGGCGACGCCCTGCATCCAGCTTCCTTGGCCGTCAGGAGCATTATGGCGGTCGGCCTCGGTGCGGGGCTCTGAGCCTCCCCCCGACTGCGACGCTGGGCAGCGGCCGGCCGCCCGGCAGACAGCTGGTTTCTTTTGCCAAATCCCTGGCCTGTTTGGAAGCCGAAATAACGTTTGATTAGTTGGGATGTTTGGAGAAACGGGTGAGGAAACAAGTGTATTAAAGTGTTAAATGAACATTGTGTGCCTGACATTGTGCTTACGTACACACTCACCTAGTCAGGGACTTAACAAAAGCGGCTGTTGTGATCCCCATTTTTGCAAGGGAAGCTAACTCGTTCATTGATTAACCCCCATCACAACTATTTTTTCGGCTGAGATTCAAACCTTTGATAATCGATCTCCCCCCCCCAAATCGGGGGCACTTTATGAGCACCATTTTGGTCAATTAGTGACTATATATCAATGCCCCTACTAAAGAGAAGTTAAAAATGAGGAAATAAAGTATCACTAACTGCAAACTTTTAGAAATACTTTCTTTATATTAGGATGAGAGAGGTACAGAAGTCAATTTAGTGCTGATCCAAATTTGGTGATTCAGTATTAGTATATAGATGTATTTTTATTCTTTTTGGAAGACTTAAGTCTCCGTGGATAACAAAACGCTCACACCTTTGAAAATCCCCTGTTGAAAATAATCAGTAGTCATCTCTAGTTATCGACAGTAAAGTCTCTTCCTTGGTATTTTTGGAGGATTTGGAGCTTTGAAGTTTGACAGCTGTGCCTCTAGAGAAACGGAAGATCTTGATCCCTCCGGTTTCTTCGTTTTGGTAAGAAAAAGGAACTTTAAGGACTCCACTATGATGTGTTTTCCACGAATACAGTTGTTGAATAAATATAAATCTGTTGGCTTGGGATTTTTCTTTTCTACACCAGCAGCTGTTAAGTCTTGGGAGTCAAATTGATGAGCAAGAAAATCTAGCAATCTAAAAGAATCTAAAGGATTAAATATGAATAATTCAGGCCATTTTCTCTTGTTGAGGCTTGTTGATAGAAAAAGATCAACAACTGGAATTCTTCCCTATGTTCAGAGTTTGAGTTAGACACTAGCAGTAGTAAAAATAAGAATAAAATATGCTTCCTCTTTTTTTTTTTGAGATAGATTTCTGACTCTGTTGCCCAGGCTGGAATGCAATGATCATAGTACACTGTAGCCTCGAACTCCTGGGCTCAAGTGATCCTGCTGCCTCATACTCCCAAGTAGCTAGGATTACATGCTCATGCCACTATACCCAGCTAATTATCTTATTTTTTGTAGAGATGGGGTCTCTGTGTTGCCCAGATTGGTCTTGAACTCCTAGCCTCAAGTGATCCTCCTGCCTCAGCCTCCCAAACTGCTAGGATTACAGGTGTGAGCCTGCTTCTTTCTTAATATTGAGACAAATCATAAACTTGGGTTGTTTGTGTATGGGTTTTTATGTTTGTTTGTTTTGTTTGTTTTTTAGTATGTCTACAAGATGCTGAGAATACAAAAAGTGAGTTAATTACCTACTCAACATTGTTTCTGTCCTTCATTTCCAATAGATATTGTTCAGGAATCTGTCTCTCTTAACCACAGTCTCTGTAGATTAGCATCCTCAGCCTCAGGGGTGGTCTGGACTGGTTAATACCATCCACTTGCCAGCTACAGAATTAGGATTATGCATGTTTCCCAGTTCACCTCCGTGAGTTGCAAGGATAGGTTTGCAGGATGCTTCCAGAAAAGTTTTTCCTCACTCTTCAAGGAGAACTTCCAGAAGTGATTTTTGCTCCCTCTGGACCTGGTTGAGCTTAGATGTAAAGCCTGAAATTGCTATGGCACTTTTGGTGGAATTTGAAGTGAACACATGGGGAGGACAAGGCCAAAAGAATGGCAGAGAAATGGAACTAGAGTAATGGGATTACATCAACTCTTCAATCTGTCCTACTTTAAGATCTTCAGTTATGTGAGTTAATAAACTTCCTTATAGTTTAAAGCAGCTTGAGTTGGGTTTTTGTTACTTCATATGAAAGCTTACAGTCTTATATAGAGAGCAAGGACAGACATGGTATCTGACATCTTACGATCTGGCGAGAAAGGTAAACAAATATCTGGACAAGATTGTGCTTCAAGCTACAGAAAGCCAGACTATAGTGATTAAAGTAAAATGGGATTGTTTTTCTCATCCAGAGGTCGGCACCCCAGGGCTAGTGCACCTATTTGAGAATGTCAGCAAGGATCTAGGCTCCTCTTTCTACTTCATCATTCCTACCATGTGGCTTTTGTCTTTATGGTGTGAAATGGCTCTACTTACAGGTTTGTGTTCACAAAAGGAGGAGGAAAGTGCAAGGGGCAAAGGACCAAAGCAACATGCTAGCTGAGAATGTTTGTTTCTTTGAAAACCTTTGCCAGAAGCTCTACCTCATAGGCATAGGCTTTTGAAGAGATTGTGATGACTTCAAAATAACCTGTAAGCTTGCATTTTAAAGGTTAACAAGGGCAGGAGATATGATCAATGATGTGTCCCTATCACTTTTCCCCCTCCTGAACAGTATCCAAGTGAGATTATTCCACTTACCAAGAGAGCCATTCTGAATATGTAAATTAAATGTCAAGCTCTTGGCAACAATTATTGCTCTATCTTCTGTTTTCTATCATAATAGCGTATGGCAGGTACTTAAAGAAATAGAGGGTTAAGAGATATTGTTGAGGAAAAGTTTAAAAAGTTGGCTAGAGCAATGAATGGACAACAGACATTGCTAGAGAGGAGGTTGTACTTTTTCTTATATGCAGAAGGGGTTATGCAGAGAAGTAAAATGGATTTTGTGAAGGTAGGACACTTTGTTTTTACTTTTCGTGAAATTCCCAAGATGATAGACTAGAGCCCCAAGAAGGCTTAGCAGAAAAAAGGTATGCTAGTGTGGAGGCTCACACCTGTAGTCCCAGCTCCTTGGAAGGCTGAGCAGGAGGATCCCTTGAGCCCAGGGTTTGAGGCTACAGTGAACTATGATTGTACTACTGCCCTCCAGTCTGGGACAAAGGGTGAAACCCCGTCTCTGGAAATAAAACAAAACAAAACAAACTCAAAAAACAAAGAAGAAGATATGGTTCACTACAGTGTAATTTTTCTCTGTTCCTTTTCTTCTTGATTTATCCATATTTAGCATTTAAGATTGACCATTTCCATGAAATTCTCCCTTGGCTTCCAGGGCATTATATTATCCTACTTTTCTTAGTACCAGTGAAGACTCTTTCTCTTCCTAGTGTCTTTTTTGTTTTTGAGACAGAGTCTTGCTTTGTTGCCTAGGCTAGAGTGAGTGCCGTAGCGTCAGCCTCGTTCACAGCAACCTCAAACTCCTGGACTCAAGCAATCCTGCTGCCTCAGCCTCCTGTACAGGCATGTGCCACCATGCCCGGCTAATTTTTTCTATATATATTAGTTGGCTAATTAATTTGTTTCTATTTATAGTAGAGACAGGGTCTTGCTCTTGCTCAGGCTGGTTTCGAACTCCTGACATTGAGCAGTCCGCCCACCTCGGCCTCCCAGAGTGCTAGCATTACAGGCGTGAGCCACCGCACCCGGCCCCTAGTGTCTTTTTACTGAGTGTTGAATGTCCCATCTACACGATATGACTTAAGGACAGAATAAAATCTTGAATCTTTCTGGTGAAAACCATGCTTCTTAACTTCATTCTCTGATTTAAAATATTATATTATTGCCTTTATCAGTATCTGGACTATAATAATAATAATGTATTACATTTTAATGGAATAAATCTATTGTTTCCCATTATATTATATACTATTAACATTATTACTACAATTCAAAACCAGGGCTGGGCATGGTGCCTCACACCTGTAATCCTAGCACTTTGGGAGGCTAAAAGGGGAGGATCACTTGAGGGCAGGAGTTTGAGACCAGCCTGAGCAAGAACTAGACTCCATCTCTACAAAAAATAGAAAATTTTTATCTGGGCATGGTGGTGCATGCCTATCGTCCCAGCTACAAGGGAGGCTGAGGCAGGGGGATTTCTTGAGCCCAGGAGTTGGAGATTGCAGTGAGCTATGATAACACCATTGCACTCTAGCCTGGGTAACAGAGTGACACCCTGTCTGGGAAAAAAAAATAATTTTTTGAACCATATTTTGCTTGTAAAAAGTGAAGTTAATATTCCCTACTTAGGAGGAAAAGCTAAATATTATTTAAAAGCAATGCAAAAATAAGCAGGGACAAAGGAAAATTTAACTTGGATTCCCTTGAAAAGAGAATCTGAGTCAGGGTTTAAGTGCTGATGTTTATTTATGGGGTACAGTCTTTGGGCGTGAACATTGAGAGGACGCAATGCTGTCCTAGCCACTGCTTCATGGTGAGCTGAAAGAGACACAGCTAGTCACTCAGGTGGAGTCTTGGCACAGTGATTGGGGAAGTCTGCGGGACAAACTATAAGGAGAAACTATGCCTCAGGGTAGTTTTGAGGGGGGAGGAAGGAGAGGAAATTCTCTCTCGTATCTGTTACTTCCCCTTGGTCAGAGTTGCCCCTCAAGGGTGTTGACTTCTCCGTAATTCCAGATTGTATCACCCATCTCCTTTGGTGGCTGCTTAGGAAATCATATCCTTTATCCATGAAGTTGTCATTTTATCCAAGTCTAAAAGTGAAGGGAAAAGCCAGAAATGCAGGGCACATTGTTCATTGCCCAGGATGCTCAGTGGCATCCTTGAGTGAAGCTTGGCACTTCCCAGGAAACTACTGGTCAACCCCAGACATAGCATAATCTTCCCCTCTCAGCCTCCCAAAGTGCTGGGATTACAGGTGTGAGCCACCTCGCCCAGCCCTGATTTTGAATTGTAGTAATAATGTTAATGATATATAATGGGAAACAATAGATTTATTCCATTATAATTAATACTTTGCTTATTATTAGAGTCCCAACACTGATAAAGGCAAGATCCAAGTGATGTTGGTTGACAGCAGTGGCCCATACTTTGGGTGACTTTTGTTACCCACCCTGTCTTTACAAATAAAAAGAATTATAGTAAGATAAACCTCTTGATTGACAGAAAGGCTGCATGTAATAGCAGCTGACTGGATAATTTAAGCAAAAGATTAAAAACATATTTTTTATTGACAGATAAAATTATATGTATTTATTATATATAACACAATGTTTTGAAGTATATATATTTTGTGGAATGCTTAAATCTAGGTAATTAACAAATGCATTACCTCACAATTATTATTTTTGTGGTGAGAATTTTTTGAAAGGTTATGAAAAAGCTCACAGGTTGGAAAGAAAAGCTGGGGAACTAAACTCCTAAACAGAAACCATGTAGTTTTAAAGTATTGAGAGCAGAAACTGCCCAAAGGTCTCTTTCACTACTGCTGAAAACACCGTGATCATTACAACTCGCTTGCATCATTCTGCTCAAGATTGAAAATCCCTGGGGAAAGAGTCTGGTTGACTATGCCTAAATCAAACACCCATCATCTGGGGTTATAGAGCACATCTAAGGACCAAGATTTCTATCTCATCAAATCTACACACAGCGGAGAGAGAAATCCCACACAAGGAAAACTGTTAGAAAGGGGAAACTTATGTTATATTAACAAAATATCCATTATAATTCATGCCTTTGGCTGCTCAGCATTCAAACAAAATTTTTTCCATATATGTGCCTTCAAAAATACTCCTGCCTGGAGAATTGCTTGAGCCCAGGAGTTTGAGGTTGCAGTGAACTATGATGACATCACTATACTCTAGCCTGGGCAATAGAGCAAGACTGTAAACAAAAACAAAAACAACCCTCTCATCCTCCCCCCAAAAAACTCCTGCCTAATATAATGCAGTTATTCCTCATAAAATAAAAATTTCTCACCTCTTCTTCAGAAGGACATAACCCAAAGTATCACTACTTCATCACAATCTAAGTCCAAGATGTCTGGGTGATGTCCATTTCTGCTCTAGCTCCAGCTCAACTGACCCAGATCAAGTTGTAGAAGCCAGGGATTCTTGTGCAAATGACTCACTGGAGGAGTGCTTGCAGGTGAAATGGAGTGAGGGAAGCAGCATATGTAAGAGAAGTAAAGGTCTGAAAAAGGGCAAAATGTTTTATGAGTTATTTCTTAAAAACCATTCACCCTTTTTGAGGAATTAAAACCTGCATTCCTGTCTGAGACCAGTAATCAGAGTGGCAGAGGGTGTTCTTTGTCTTAAACCACAGGAGATGGCTCAATGAAATGATCATGAGATTATCTTCACTGGAGATGCTATAGTTAAATGGCAATAGCCCCAAACTGAAAGCCCCCTTTAAAAACTCTGTATTTCTGCTTAAAGGGAGGATGATGGTTCTTTAAGATGAGAGTCTGCCATCCTCCTCATTTGCCAGCAAATGAATAAACTTCTCTTTGCTTTTCCTTAAACCACTTATCCTCATTCTTTGCTTGGCCTCAGAGACAAGTACCGAACTTTTGGTAACACATAGGGCAGGGAAAATTAGTCAAGCCATGATGTGGCTGGAGATTAGTGTCAGCCTGATCCCAAAAAGAGTCCTAGAGTCTGAACTGTATATGGAATTGGTGCCAGTTTGAGACACAAGTATGAATAAATGATCTTAAAAAAAGGCTACCTGATGTATCATATGAAAGCCCACCCCAAATGAGACCACCTCCACCTAGAATTTATAGTTTGAGAGCATTAGCCTTACCTTTCCTGTTTCTGTGGGGAATTCCAGTGCCCCCAAATTGCCATATGCCTTCTTTTTCTTTTTTCTTTTCTTTTTTTTTTTTTTTTTTGAGACAGAGTCTCGATTTGTTGCCCAGGCTAGAGTGAGTGCTGTGGCATCAGCCTACCTCACACCAACCTCAAACTCCTGGGTTCAAGCAATCCTACTGCCTCAGCCTCCCGAGTAGCTGGGACTACAGGCATGCGCCACCATGTCCGGCTAATTTTTTCTATATATATTAGTTGGCCAATTAATTTCTTTCTATTTATAGTAGAGATGGGGTCTTGCTCTTGCTCAGGCTGGTTTTGAACTCCTGACCTCAAGCAATCCTCCCGCCTTGGCCTCCCAGAGTGCTAGGATTACAGGCTTGAGACACTACGCCCAGTCTGCCATATGCCTTCTTGACTGAGTTGAACTTTCTCATAAATTCGTATTCCCATTGATGACCAGAAAAACACATAAACTTGCAAGGTAAAAGTAACTTGGTCTCTTCCAGTTTTATTTTATTTATTTATTGTTTTGAGACAGAGTCTCACTTTGTTGCCCAGGCTAGAGTGGGTGTCGTGGCATCAGCCTAGCTCACAGCAACCTCAATCTCCTGGGCTCAAGCGATCCTCCTGCCTTAGCCTCCCAAGTAGCTGGGACTACAGGCATGCACCACCATGCCCAGCTAATTTTTTCTATGTATATTAGTTGGCCAATTAATTTCTTTCTATTTTCAGTAGAGACGGGGTCTCCCTCAGGCTGGTTTTGAACTCCTGACCTCGAGCAATCCACCTGCCTCTGCCTCCCAGAGTGCTAGGTAGGATTACAGGCGTGAGCCACCACGCCCGGCCTCTTCCAGTTTTAAATAGTCTCATTTAAGGGAAATAGTTAATTTAAAGGGCTGTTTGTTTTCTTTCCAAGGTCTTTCTTTTGCCTCAACCTTTTCAAGATGTCTTCTGGGTGCAAAGTGAGGTTTAGGTGTTCTCCTCATAATAGGAGGAAAAGATCTTTGTTAGCAAGCTGTGACCTCTACCTGAGGTGTAGTCTGTTTGGTGTCTGAATTTTGGCCTCTGCTCTTCCCATAGCTACCATTGAATGGCCATAGCTAGTGTAACTGGTGGTGTGGTTTCTCAGCACTCAGCTCAACAATCTTCCTTGACTAAGTTGATCCCACGTTGGCTTTCACTGGTATTGCAAATCTTTTTTGCATATCCTTTGCAAATCTTCCATGTCTCCATCCAGCCCCTGGCTGGTCTACCTTATAGCTCCTCCTATTCAGTAATAACACTCTTCACCATAGTGACCCCATCACAAGCCCATTAGTTCTCAACCATTAGTTCTAGCCCATTAGTTCTCATGT